TGCCCATTTCACCTTGCCCTAACCACCCAAGGGGTCTGGCCTGACCAGCCACTGTGGCTCTATGTGCAGGCTGTTGGCATCATTGAGGCTGTCCTGGAGAAGTTTGGCACCTATGAACACTTTGAGGCCTCCACGGGTGGCCAGCTGTTGACCAAGTGCCAGATTTGGTCCATTGTGCGCAAATACATGCAGAAGGAGGGCTGTGTTGGGGAGGTGAGCTTGCCCTGTTTTCAAGACCCCTCTTCTACATGGCACAAATTGGGCTACTTCAAGATACTAGGCCCAACTACACACCTAATCAGTTGTGCCTCCGAAGGTCTGCCCCTGCCCCAGGGAGGTGGGAGCTGGCTCTATGGAGAAGTGGAAAAGGATGGGTGGCCAATGTCTAGCCTGGTTGCCCTGAAGCATGGGGGGACAGAGACTGCATGTATATCAGCCCTGAGGCTGGTAGCCTTGGCTCAGCCTGTCACCACTGCCACCTGCAGATTGTGGTACAGCTGAGTGAGGACCTGCTATCCCAGGCAGTGATGATGGTGGAGAACAGCCGACCCACCCTGGCCATCAACTTGACTGGAGCCCGCCAGTACTGGTTGGAGGGCATGCTGCGACACGAGATAGGTCAGGCTGTGGGTGGGTTGGGATGAGAGGGGGCTGAGAGTTGGGAGGGTGAGGGGAGCCCAGTCACCCCCTCCTTTGTTTCTCCCTCTTCCCTCCGGAGGAGGAGGACAGGCCTTTTCCCCTCCCTCCCTCTTGCTCACAGAGGTAGGCCAGCAAATGCCTGCCCACTCTCTGGCCTCACTCCCACTCTTGCTCTTTGGGTTTCTCTCCAGTTCTATCCCATTTCCCTTGACAATGGGGGCAAGGCTGCTGAGACCCAGATGGGACAGAAGGAAAACTCCTTAGAGTCTGACTAGCCCAGCCAGCAAGTAGGCCCTACAGGGTGGGAAAGCTGGGCTCTAGGAATAGCTTACCACACAAAGCCCAGTTTAGGAGGGGAAAGGCCAGGCTAACCACTCTTCCTTTTTGCGCAAGCATGCCATTGCTCTGGGCAAGAGGTGGTTTTTCTGACTGCATTTCCATGCCTGTCAAAATGATTGGTTTGGGCCCTGGGAATGTTGGGGTGTCGTTGGCTGTGTTCTTTTTGTCTAGGGGGCAGCATGTATTTGGTGGAGAGAAAGGAAGAGAGGAGGGAGAAAGCTCTAGATGGGTGGGGGGGGGGGGCTAGTCATCTATGTGGATGCAAGTTCACCCGACGAGGGCCTGGGGTTGGGTGAGTATGCGTTTGTCCGGGGTTCATGGGCACGCTCTGAGTTTGGGGACAGGAGGACACAAGAGTCCCCTAGGTAGGCTGGGTGCTCCAGACACCCCGCCCAGTGCTGCTTCCCCCTCATTCTCCCCGCAGGTACCCACTACCTGCGGGGCGTGAACAACGCTAGACAGCCCTGGCGTAGTGCAGAGGGCCGGCTGCAGTATGGTCTTCGGCCAGCCAACCCCACGGAGGAGGGCCTGGCCAGCCTGCACAGCGTGCTGTTCCGCAAGCAGCCGTTCTTGTGGCGCGCAGCCCTGCTCTACTACACCATCCACCGCGCCGCGCACATGTCCTTCCGCCAGCTCTTCCAGGACCTGGCGCGCTACGTGCAGGACACCAATGTGCGCTGGGAGTACTGCGTGCGTGCCAAGCGGGGCCAGACCGACACCTCCCAGCCTGGTGGGTGCTGCAGCCCGGGGAATGCCTGAGCTGGGATGGGGTGTCGGATAGTGCTCCAGGCAAGGATTTCTCTCTGATCCCCACTTCACAGGCTGCTTCAGCAAGGACCAAGTGTACCTGGACGGCATTGTGCGCATTCTGAGGCATCGCCAGACCATTGATTTCCGGCTGCTGACCATTTTGGGCAAGGTGAGGAGTTATACAGGTCTTCCCAGGCCCTAGCCAGCTTTCCCCTTCTCCTTGCTCCCCAGAGTCGGAGTCATGTTCCATTGAGGCCTGGATGCCAGGCCTGAATGGTGGGCGGAGTGTGGGTCGAGGAGAAGCGGAAATGACTGCCTGGCAGCCTGCAGATGTATGTATAGATACTGCATTTCAAAGGAGGTGAGCATTCCAAACCAAGTGCAGGTCTGGGGAAAGGGTCTGGGGAAAGGTCCTGGGGAAATGGCTAGGAACCCAGTCCCTGGTACTGAGCATTTATACTACACTGGAATAGAGGGGGAAAGTGGAACGTGCAGCTAGCTAGAAGAGCTTTCGGCAGAACTGTAAGGGATGCTTTAGAGGGCGCCCCCTGGAGGTCATGCAAGAGGGAGTTGTTTGGTTTGGTTTGGTTTTTTTTTTTTTTTGGGGGGGGGGGGAGGTTATGGATCTTGAACTTTGAGCCTGGGTGCTGTCCCTGAGCTCTTCAGCTCAAGGCTAGAGCTCTACCACTACAGCCACAGGGCCACTTCTGGTTTTCTGGTGGTTAATTGGAGATGAGTCTCATGGACTTTCCTGCCTGGGCTGGCTTTGAACCTTGATCCTCAGATCTCAGCCTCCTGAGTAGCTAGAATTATAGGCGTGAAACTCCGGAGCCAGGTTAGGAGGGAGATTTAAAGAGAGGCCTGCAGAGAGGAGTACAGAAGCAAGAGGAGGAAGCTAGCTGGTAGTCTGGCCTTGCCTGGAAGTGAGTGGCCATGGTTGGCAAGGAAGGGGGCAAACTGGAGAGTTCTTAAGAGTAGAATTTCCTTGTCTCAGTGGCTACACTGAGTAGGAGCGAGGGTGAGAGTTCTGGTCCACTCCCTAGAACCTGACTGGGTGACTGTGAAGAGGTGGGCTGGCATAAGCTGGCACTCCGGCATTTCCTGTAGGGAAGTAAGATTCAAGGTGGCTCAGTGGGGGCTGGGAAGGTGGCTCAGTGGTAGAGTGCTTGCCTTGCATGCATGAGGCCCTGGGTTCGATTCCTCAGCACCACATACACAGAAAAAGCTGGAAGTGGGTGCTATGGCTCAAGTGGTAGAGTGCCTTGAGCTGAAGAGCTCAGAACAGTGCCCAGGCCCAGAGTTCAAGCTCCATGACCAGAAAAAAAAAAAAGAAATGTACTCAAGGTGGCTCAGTGGTAGAGTGCTTGCCTTGCATGCATGAGGCCCTGGGTTTGATTCCTCAGCAGCACATAAGCAAAAAGAAAAAAGCCGGAAGTGGCACTGTGGCTCAAGAGTGGGAAGATTCATGGATCAATTGGATACACCTTTGTAGGTGAGGGGATAGGCTGGGATGGTAGGGTTGTAGGGAAAACATAGGTGTTGAAAGGAGGCATGCAGGGGACCAGCCCTGGAAAAATGTAGTGAGATCCTGTTTCAAAAACAAAAGGGCTAGTGGTATAGCTCTCATGGTAGAACACTTGGCTTGTAAGCACAAGCCCTTGGGTTCACTTCTCAGTACTGAAGAGAGAGAGAGCTCAAAATCCAGGTTTGAGCATAGAGATACATAATATAAATATGAATCAGGAAGGGAGGAGTCCCGGGAGCTCTACGTGAGTGGAGCTGGGATGAGCTGGTAGAAAGTCAGGGAGCTCTGGTTAGCCCTGAGGTGTAGCTCTTTCCCTTACAGGTCTCCTATGAAGATGTGGACCATCTGCGGCCCTATGGAGTACTAGATAAGACCCGTGTGCCTCACTTCATGCAGGACTTGGAACGCTACAGGCAGCAGCTAGAGTACATCATGACTACCAACCGGCTGGATGAAGCAGAGCTAGGCCGTCTGCTGCCTGAGTGATATTGGTTGAGGGCAACAAGCAGAAGCCCTGGACAGAGGTCTCTAGGTTGGCCCCCAGAACACGAAGCTGTCTGCTCTGTGCTTCCACAGCCTAGATGTTTCTTGTGGGCATTGGGAGGCCAAGGAGCATCCTGGGAGGACAAGACAATGTCTAAAAGTTTTTGTCTCACTAGCTTTACTGGGGCCTATGGGCCAGTATCAGGAGGCATACGACTGAACTGAGAAGAGGCCTGGGGCCAGAAGGGAGCTGAGCATCCATGAGGACATGGGGTAGTTTGGGAATAGAAATTCAATTCTTGCATGAGATGGCTTTGGGTATCCTGTATTCCAATCTCTTCCTCCACCTGGCCCCTTGGTGCTCATTCAGCATTCATGCTGCCTACCTCTCACTGGGTCTTAGTGGAGGTTGGGAGTAGGGTTATTGCTTGTGCCTGAGGTCCTGGCTTGTATACAGTCTCGAAGGGCAGGAGTTCTGGTAGTAGCGACCCAGCTGGTCTGGGGCTTGCTTTCAGCATTTTGCTTCTCTCACTGGTCATGTATATATCCATATTTATGTGCTCTGCTTCTTGAGGTTGGAAGGGACAGACCACTCCTGGAAGGTTCCAATTAGTCTAAGCCCCACTCTCATTACATACACACAGAGATACGTATCACTGGGTGTCAGGCCTTGTGAGTCTAGCCTAAGAGCTCACCTGGCCCTGTTCCCACTCACCCCACCAGTTTCTGATGTTTCTGTCTCATGCTCTCACAGCTTGTCTCTGGCAGAACTTGGGCTAGTCTGTGAGCAGCTACAATCAAGCCTATAAGGCAGGCCCCTAGGGTTTGTTAAATCCTGAGCCCTTCTTGGACCAGGAGAGGTACAGAGCTGGTTGTTGCTTCCAGTTTCACTGCAGACTCAGCCGTGTGAAGTTGGTCAGTCCCACTCCTACTATAGGCTTGTCCTATGTAGAACTGGGAAACCACAGCTGGGAAGTTCTTAGTCAATGGAAATGTACAGAATGCCTTGTGTGTGCCAGTGGCTAGTTAGAACCCTCCCTGAGCTCTCAGGGAGAGAAATCAATTAAAACAGCAATTGTAATGATGTGTGTGGTCTCTGTGTCCTCAAGGTCTTTCCAAGTTATTTCATTTCTCAAGACCCTAAGTGAACAATAGTCTCCCCTATTCTCTACATCATGGAGCGGGCTGGTGAGGCCCAGTAGTCAGGCCCTCATCCAACTAGGGGCCTAGATCTGGCATCTCCAAGGACAAAGCTTGGGCAATTTATTGAGGCTGGAATGTAACTGTAAACTTGGTGGGAGAGGGTGGGGCATAGATCTGTCAGGGTCAGTAGGCTCACACATACCCCCCCCCCCCTCAGTTCTGTGAAAACAGCCAGACTCGTGGGAAGCCCAGGTCCAGGCTTACCCTCTGGAGTTTATTCACTTCCAACAGGCTCGATGGAGCCTTGGTGGTATTACATCCAGCTCTGCTGGGTTCCAGGTCTTATCAGGCTTGGGCTTAATGGGAAAACACTAGGTCAGCACTCTGGCCTTCAGGAATCTAGAGAAAGAAAGGATATGGTTAATGGACCAGAGCCTGCTCTCCATTTCCCAAGTCAAACCCTGAAAGAGATCTGGGTGGCCTCACACCTTCGGACCCGTCTCCCTCCTCAGGCTCAGGCCCTGGCTCGGGCTCTGGATCAGGCTCTGGATCAGGCTCTGGCTCCAATTCAGGCTCTGGTTCTGGTTCCGGATCCATTTGGGGTTCTGGCTCAGGCTCAGTACTGTCAGAGGCCTCAGCTTCCAAGTTTGGTTCTGGTTCCTCTGGAGTTCCGGATTGAACTGCCTCTGAGCCCTCTGGACCCCCATCCTCGTAGTGATCTGAAGCTCTGGGCAGTCCAGGACATGTGGTCCCCGAACTGGGTGCCTCTGGTGTCCAGTGGCCTGGGCAGGGAGGGTCATAGCTGCGGTCCCGGTAGCCTGGAGTGGATGGAGGTATCTCAATTTACTGGTGGAAAGGTCCTGCCTTACCACTTGGCTAGACCCGACTCCGCCCACCATATAGTCATAGCTCCGCCCACAGGCCACGCCCTTGCACTGACAAGGCCCCACCCCTTCACACTCACCGGGGCCCACGTGCTGCCAGTCCCAGGCCGGATCCGGCGCGCGCAGGGCATGCTGGGCACAACGCAGCAGCTCCTGGCAGGCGGCCTCGCCCTTGCTCTGCACCAGCAGCAGCAGGCGGCGCACCCGGCGCTCGGCGTCAGGCAGTGCATCCAGCGCCTCGTACTCGGGCCCGGTGAGCACTCCCCGCGCTACCAGTGCGTCCAGCAGCAGCCCGGAGTCCGCTTGCAACGTCTCTACCAGGCGTTTCCGCTCGCGGTCGATGGTCTCCGAAGGCCGCTCCTGTGCGTTGCCCATCCTTGCGGCTGCACGGGAGAGGTGTAGAGGAGCCGTGGGGCCCTGATCACCGGCAGCTGTGATCTAAATTCACTTCTACCCCAGCAGCCAGAGGGCTCCGCAGAACCCCACGTGGAGACCGCAGTACAGATCTCCTTGTCCTCCCTCCTCTTCTGTCCAGTCTCTTCAGGCTCCTCCTCCTGTCTTTGACAGGTCAGGACCTCTCTCCCGAACCCCAGTAGCCGGCAGATCCCAGTAGCCACCAGTTCAGAACCAGTTTATCCAAACCAATTTCCTCTTTCCCCAACCGGCTTCCTCCTCCTGACCCCCCCAAAAAAGGCAGAACCCCGGGTTGGAGCAGGACACCAGGTAGCTCACTCCCTCATGTCACGCTGTTTTTCTTGGTCACTTCACATCTCAGGTCCTCCTCCTTAATATTAAAGTGTCAACCCTTCCTCCAAGGTCCCTCCTGCAGGCTGAAATCTACATGATCACAGTTTGAAGCCAGCCTAAGTAAAAAGGTCTGAGAGACAACATCTCCAATTAACAAGAAAAAGGTGAGACTGAATGTGTGGTTCAAGTGGTAGAGTGCCTGCGTAGCAAGTACAAGATCCTGTACCTGCCTAACACATGCAAACTCCAGTACTGGAGTGGAAATAAAAGGAACTAGGAGTGATTCTGAGGTTACAGTTTTATGTCAAGTCCCTTCTAGTTTACTGAATATCCCTCACTTAGTCTAACCTTTTACCTCTTGTCTGTACCCTGGGGAACTCATCATCAAAGCTTCTGTAACCTCTCCTCTACTCCTCTCTGACCCAGAGCACAAAATGCCCAGAACCTCCTGCAGCTCTTCTCACCTTCAAGGTCTTCTGACCTTGAAATCTAACTTTCTAGGACAGGCCCAGTCCCTGCATCCTTACTACCGCATGTTGCAAACCCAATGTAGTCTCATGGCCTTTCCTGGGTCCTTTGCACCTGAGTCAGGATACCTGAATCCTCCTGATATCTCCTGATATCACCAGAGACTCAACTGTCTCCTAGCTGATGGTGGAAAAACTCAAGTCATTTCATACTTCATCTTGAAATACCCAGGGCCAGCCAGGCACCAGTGGCTCACGCCTGTCATCCTAGCTACTCAGGAGGCTGAGATCTGAGGATCTCGGTTCAAAGCCAGCCCGGGCAGGAAAGTTTGTGAGACTCTTATCTCCAATAAACCGCTAGAAAACCGGAAGTGGTGCTGTGGCTCAAGCGGTAGAGGGCGTGCCTTGAGCTGAAGAGTACAAGGACAGCGCCCAAGCCCAGAGTTCAAGCCCCACGACCGACAAATAAAAAAGAAATACCCAGAGCCTAGCTCATGAAAGCCTCAACAAATGCTTGCTGAACTTGTTTTCCTTTCACGAGTCTCTCATTTTGGTTCTGTCTCTACTAAATAGTAGTAGAAAGTAGGTAGTAGAGCCTGGCGCTGGTAGCTCATGCCTGTAATCCTAGTTATTCAGAAGGCTGAGATCTAAGAATTGCGGTTCAAAGCCAGCCTGGGCAGGAAAGTCTGTGAGACTCTTATCTCCCATTAACCACCAGAAAACCAGAAATGGTACTGTGGCTCACGTGCAGAACGCTAACCTTGAGCTGAAGAACGCCGGGACAGTGCCCAGGCCTAGAGGTTAAGTCTCATGACAAAAAAAAGTAGGAAGTAGGTAGAAATCAATCTGAATTATCCATTTATTACCAACTAAGCACTATACCCTTTGGTGGGCTAGCTTAGGCAATAAGGCACCTGGCATTAAGACACAATGTCAGAACCGGGCACCAGTGGCTCATGCTTATAATCCTAGCTACTCAGGAGACTGAGGATTGTGGTTCCAAGCCAGACTGGGCAGGAAAATCTCTGAGACTCTTATCCCCAATTAAATTACAGGAAAAAGCTGGAAGTGATGCTGTTGCTCAAGTGGTAGAGTGCTCTCCTTGAGCAAAAGGAGCTCAGGGATAGCACCCAGACCCAGAGTTCATGCCTCAGGACTGACTCCCCCCCCCAAAAAAAAGAGAGAGAGAGAGAGCGGAGAGAGAGAGAGAAAGAAAGGAAGGAAGAAAAGAAGCAATGTCAAGCCAGGTTTCAGTGGCTCATACCATAATCCTATATCCTTTTCCTATATCCTTTCCTTGAAAGGAAAAGATAGGGAAGTGGCAAGTTAAGGCAAGCCTGGGCAAAAAAAAATAGTTCTTGAGATCCTTCTTTTTTTTTTTTTGGTCCGGTCGTGGGGCCTGAACTCTGGGCCTGGGTGCTGTCCCTCAGCTCTTCAGCTCAAGGCTAGCACTCTACCACTTGAGCCACAGCGCCACTTCCGGCTTTTTTCTTATGTGGTGCTGAGGAATCAAACCGGCTTTTTTCTTATGTGGTGCTGAGGAATCAAACCCAGGGCCTCAAGCATGCAAGGCAAGTGCTCTACCACTGAGCCACCTTCCCAGCCCCTTGAGATCCTTCTCTACCAATAGCCAGATGGGTTGGCACATGCCTGTCATACTAGCTTCACGGGAAGGAGAGATAGGCAGATCACTGTTCAGGAGAAGGTTTGGGCAGGAAGCTAGACTTTATCTAAAAAATGACCAGTGCAAAAAAGGTCTAGAGGTGTGGCTCAGCAGTAGAGTGCCCACTTAGTAAGTGCAAGATCTTGAATCCAAATAAAATTGAAATTAAAAAAATAAAAATAAATGAGGTTCTTTTCAGGTGTCAGGCTACTCACAACCTCTGTCCATTCCCTTTGCCTTAGCTTTTGGTCACGTGGCATCTTTCTAGATTCCTTTAATGTCCAAGCTTCTAAAGTCCCTCCTCTACCTCTTTTCCTGATCCATTGGGTGGTAACCCCCATGTTGCCTTTGTGTCTCTCCCAATACTCCCTCATGTCACACTTTCTCCTGGCCACTTCATACCCAAAGGTTCCCCCTCCACCCTCTCATATCAATGTCAGTCCCAGGCCACTGAGCAAAAAGCAAAACCACCTGTGCCCCCCATTTCCTTCATGTCTGTGAGGCGTGACTTCCAATAAAGTGCTTCTCACCTTATCTCCTGTACCAGTCCTTCTGAGTACCACTGACTTCTTCCCATTCCATTCCGCCCTTAATATAGTGACTTTGACAATTCATTGGGGTATGATTTGTTGCTCTCCTCACTGAGGCTTCCAAAGACTTTCCCTAATATAAGGCTCAGAAAGGGAAAGCATCCTCTATTATGAGGCACTGGAAGGGAGAGGAGACAAGGTCCTCTTCTGTGGCCAGAGAGGGAAGGTGCAGACTGGATTGGTCTCTTCTTTTTCCCTGAATCCTAAGTTGTTTTCATATCAGCTGACTCCTCCATTACCCCAAGTCTTGCCATTTGTCCTGCCGGGGGGAGCAAAGATCTAGGCTGGACTGAGCCCTCCCATGGAAGTTCTCATAGCTCTAAGGTGAATACTGAAGTAACAGCGCTGCCCCCAGTTCAAGGGACAAGCTCAGATGCTTCTTGGGAGCGCTAGATAGCAAGACGCAAAACAGTTTGGCCCAGGACCCCGGTTTAAGCATGAGGTTTGTCGCGGGGGAGTTGAGGGTCGTGGGCCTCTGGTAGCATTGCGCATGTGCGACCGCAAAGGGTATGCTGACCTCCTCCCCTCCACCCAGTCCCGGAGCTTGGGAGCTGCGGAAGGGTGGGGCCCACAGACCTGAGAGCGCGGCTGCTGCTGGTGAGGCGCGGGTCGCAGGCTCAGTCTCCCTTCCCTCCCCTGCCTCTGCAGCGTGGAGAGGGAGTCACGATTCGAGCGTTTGGAGAGGCCCCAGGCACTCGGGTGGAGCCTATGCCGGGCAGGAGATGACAGTGCAGAAAGGGCCGGGCGGGGTGGGGACCGGTGCAGCAGCTGCGAAGGGGCGGGGCGGCCAGGGCTGCCGGGAATGGGGGGCGGCGGGGGGGGGGGGGGGAGAGGGGGGCGTGCTTCTTGGGCGCTGGGAACAGGGCAGCTGAGGGCTTACGCTGGCTGGGGACCGGCACAGATCGGTTTTCCCTTTCCTACCGGGGCGCACGTGGACTAGGTTGGGGGGACAGTTAGGCTCATGGTCCCACGTGTCCAGCGTCAACTCTAGGTCTGTCAAATTCCCAGGCGCTTTTTCATTTGTGCTCTCAGTCCTCTCTGCCTGTCACAGATGACTTTTAGGGGACCCAGTTGCCCAGGGTGCATATACTGCAGAACTGCATGTGGCTCTGAAGGCATCCCTTCCTTGCACCGGCTGAGGACCGAATTCAGGGCCTTGCACTTGCTAGGCAAGTGCCCTTATACTGAGCTAATTCAACAACCCCTGGAGATTCTTCATGAAAGCCCCGGATCTGGACGCGTTTGTTGTTTGGACAAAAAACGCCAAGTTGCCCCCCCCCCCCATGATATGTGCTCCCTGGTCGATATAAAAAACGAGACTCGAAACAGAAAAAAAAATGCAGTTTATGTGAGGGGGTTGCTGGGGGTGGAGAGAGAGGTGGCCAATCAGTAGGGAATTGGTCACCCCTGCAGGGGGCGCCAGTAAGCCTAAACGGGTGTGTTGTTGCAGGCTGGTTCCTCAGCCAGGCCATTTTAGAGGTGTACAGATTTCAGGGGGATGGACTGGTCCCTGGCCCCAGGTAGGAGGCCCGGCTCTCAGGAGCATTATAAATGGCTAAAGCCCCTGGCACAGAGAGGGCTGCACCTCCCAAATCCATCTGGACATCCAGCAGGAGTGGGGCTCCCAGAGTAGAATCCTTTCCTAGGAGAGGTGAGGCTGCGCTCAGTCTAGAGAAGCCTCTCCCCTCCTTTCTTCAGGGAGGAAAGCCCTGCCCTTTTTCACTCAGGATGAAACATTTTAACTATCTCCAACCCACATCCAACAGTGAGGAGATGGGTGGGTACAGAGGATTTCCCCAGCAAAACTCAAGCTGCCCAACACATCCAATCAGGGTAGCTCAGCCCAGATATGGCTTCCTTCCAGGTTCTAAGTCCCCATCACCATTACCTGCACCTGGAGAATTCAACCCCTTGTCTGCCAGCTCAGCCTCACCCCTCTCTGGAACCAAGGGCTGCATCTGCATAGGAGAACCATGGCAAGCAACTGGGGAGGAAGCCCCAGTGGCTGAGGAGAACTGGGGAATCATTAGGGCAATTCTCAGACCTGACTCTGGCTCCCTGAGAACAACCACAGACCAAAGGAACAGAGTCCTTCTTCCATCTTACCAGGGCGAGTTCCATGTCCAAGTCCATCAGGGTCCATTCTCGTCCTTGGAGGCTGGGGCCCAACACCTGGGGAGAGCTCCAGGTCATTGGTGCCCTCAGGCTGCACAGACAGCTGGACCCCACCTTGTCCCACGTCCCTGCCCTTGCCAGAGGGGTACTCACATCCAGGGGTACTACAGGCTCCACGCTTTCCGGGGCAGGCCGAAGCAGCATTGGAGGAAGCAGATTCTCTGGGCTCCGATTTCCCTGCTCTAGGCCCAGAACTCCCCTGTGCACAAAGAACCTGCTATTGGCCTGCAGTACTCATGCCCTATTAGGTTCCCCAGGAACCCAGATGTATTGACATTTAAGTACCTCACTATCTAAATGCTAAAAGTGGATCCTCCCCTCCCCCCCCCCCCCCCACACACACAATGGGGCATCTAGAGAGTGCCTTTTCTTCCTACCTGGAAAACTAGGTCTGGGAGCCTTCACTATGCAAGTGTAAATACTACTGTTTGTTATTTTTTTAGTGTATATTAAAATATACATAGGGGGTTTCATCATTGCATTTCCATACATGCACGTAATATACTTTGATAATATTCACTCTATTTATAATTCTTCTTCAGTGGGGTCTTGTGTGTGCGCACCAATACCAGAACTTGAACTCAGGGTGTCAAGCTCTCATTCCAGCTTGCTTACTTGTTCATCAATGGTGCTCTACTAATTGAGCCACACCTCCAGCTTGGCTTTTTGCTAATTGGAAATAGGTGGAGTCCCTCAGACTTTTCTGGCTGGCTTTGAACCTTGATCCTACAAATGTCAGCCTTCTGAGTAGCTAGGTTTATAGGCATGAGCCACTGGGGACCTAGCTTGAGTCTTTTTTTGTCAGTCCTAAGGCCTGAACTCTGGGCCTGGGCACTGTCCCTCAGCTCTTCAGCTCAAGACTAGTGCTCTACCACTTGAGCCACAGCGCCACTTCTGGCTTTTTCTGCTTATGTGGTGCTGAGGAATCCAACCCAGGGCCTCATGCATACAAGGCAAGCATCTACCACTGAGCTGCTTTCCCAGTCGGCTTGAATCTTTCTATAGAGGTACTGAGTGACTTGAGTGAGAGGTTCTGCTCTGCGGGGGATTCTAATGCAGGTGTTCTTTGGAGCAAATTCTGAGAAATAAGGTAGGTAAGTGTCGCAGAATCAAGTGCCCAATGGTCCTCCTTAGCCACCGAAGGACAAAGGCATTTTATGGGCCAGAGTGATGACTGGTTTGCAAAAGTGGCCCACAGAGCTCACCATCAAAAATGGGCTCTGAAAAGAAGCTCAGGGACAGTGCCCAGGCCCTGAGTTCAAGCCCCAGGACTGGAAAAAAAAAAGGGGGGGAATGGGAAAAGCTCTGCTCACCTGTCAGTTACGTCCCTGGGGTCCTTTGGTTCAGGCTGTTGGGCACTCCTGGGCCCCTCAGGGCTGAAGCTCCCTTTCCCTTCCAGGATGGCCTGCACCACAGCCACAGGCAATTGTGGGGGGGCTGTCACGCAGAAGTCACACTCGTTTGGGGCTAGGGCCAGCCCGGCCTCGCCATCCCCCCCTGGACTGGCCGGCTCTTCTTTGAGCAGTGCCAGGCCCTTCTCCCTGTACGGGAGAAAAGCTTCAACCAGACCCTGGCACTGACCTCTCCACCCCTACAGCCATCTGGGCTGCTAGGCCCTCCCCACCCCCCACAAGCTCCTCAGGGAATCCCCTGGTGCCCCTTACCTCCTGCCACCACTGGAGGAGGGAGAAAGCCTGGGCCCTTCAGGGGATGGAGAGTCTTCTGGGATGTCAGAGATGATGGGCCCTCTGGCCCTGTGAGGGCTAAGGCCCAAGGTAGTCTCTGGGAGGGGCTGTAAGTAGAAGGCTAGGCCCAGCCCTTGACCTCCAGGCACAGGGAGAGCCAGAACCTAACCATCATCCAGCTGGAGCACTTCTACAGGATAGGGATTGAGGAAGAGGCTCTGTTCATTCTGGGGAGCCTAAGTCTGGCTAGTGGGAAGGCTGGCTTCCATCTTCTTTGGGGAGAATGGGCAAAAGAAACAAGCTCCCCATAATCCCAGCTGTACCCTGGGGTGGGGAAGGGAGAAGAAAAACTTACCGACTGAGTAAAGTAAGGATCCTGCAGGAGGGTACCAGGTAGGGGGCAGGCACTGAATTTGGCAGGTGCTGGACATGAGCTCCCTTCATCCAACATCAGGGACCTGTGTGGGGTGACAGGGACTCAGGCAGGGGTGGGCAGGATCAGTCCCCATGCCCCTCAGCCTGTACCTCTCTCCCGCCCTCCCTCAGGCCCCAGCAGCCAAGTCAGCAGAGCTGCGGCCTGTTGCCAGGGCATCAGTCACATGCTGGAGTATAAGGGGCTCCCCCAGAGATGGGGGCCCTTTGGAGGGTAGAGAGGGGGAGGAGGGAGCATTGTCAGAGCCTCAAGTCCTCAGTTGCTATGTTTTGGGGTGAGGACCGGAATTTGAGGGTAAGGCCCCCCACAATAGGAAGATCCTGAATGGGGTAATGGATGGCAGAGTTGTGGGGAAAGAAAACAGGGTGAGGAAGGAGAATTTCCAGTGAAGGAGTTTCTGAAGAAGGGGTCTTTGCTAGGAGTCCTCTGGGGAGATTGTTGAAGGTGGGAAACAGAGGTGAGCCTCCCTGCCTTTGTCACTCACAGCTTCCTCTTGGTTCCAGCACTACTGGGGCCTGCCTGGAGTGGCCCAAAGAGGCACTGGATCAACTGGGGAGAAAGCAAAGGGTTAATTCCTACATCCCGCCCTCACCCCTACCCCTACCCTAGTGGGGGCAGTACCAGGTGAGTTTGCGGGAGGGTGGGTAAACAGACCGTAGAGGACTGGGTGGAGGTAAAGAATGGGCCAGAGTGAGAGAGAGAAGTGGAATGGGGGAGAGGAGCACCTTGCCAATAACCCGTTGCTGCTGTCCATGGATCTGTCGCAGTGTCACTACCTCTCGCCACAAGATCTCATTTTGCCTGGATGGGGGGAAAGGGTTGGGGAGTGCAGAGGCACCTGAGAGTTCATGGGATTACCATGTTCCATAAATTGGTGAGGCCAGGGAACCACGCAGCCCCCCTGATGGTCACTCCATCCTGTGGGGACTAGAATTCCATGACCGTGCCCATTTGTCGGAATAGGGGCACAAAGGCCCAAGATAGAGGGGCTTCCCAGAAACCACTGCTGATGAGTATTTCATTACCCAGACCCCACCTCCCCGCGCGTTCCCCATTCCCCCCGCACTGCCTGAGCTCCCGCAGCCGCGCCTCGGTGCTCTCCTGCGCTCCTCGAAAAGCCTGCACCTCGCTTAGCAGCCTGCCGAAGTCTTCAGGGCGCCAGCGACTGTCTTCACCCCGCAAAGCAGGAACCTGAAGGTGGGAGGCGCCAGTTGGGGTGAGAGCACATGGAGCGGGGCACCTAGTCCTAACACCCCACTTGGGGTTTAGTCTTTCCTTTGCTTGCAGTCCCCACCTTGCGGCGCACGCGCTCCAGGAGCTGCTCACGGCCACGCACGAAGCTCGGGTGCTGGAACTCTACGTGATCACGCTCTGGCCTGAGTAGGCCACCCTGCTCGATGCTCACGACCTTCCGAAAACCATCTGGAGAACGGGGCATGGGGTTTGAGTCGCCCCATCTTTTGCACCAACACACTCAAGCCCGCTCCCCACCGGCCCGAGGAACTCACACATGTTGAGTTGGCGCACAAAACTGGCCATGTTGCTGTGCTTGAAATACTGGGGTAGCACTTCTTTGGCGAAGCGGCTCTGATCGCTCACGAGGAAGCTGGTTCCGCTCTATGGATAATGACGCCCCGCACGCACGCCACGCATGGTGCAGGTGAAGATCAAGACCTGCTAAGTGGCGGCCAGCGCCCTGGCGCGCAGGCGCGCGCACTCCCTCTGAGGGGCCTGAGGCCTAGTCTGGGGGCAATCCCCACGAGTCCCTCTTTGTAGCCCGACCCAGACTTGGTTCTAAGAAACAGAAGCGGCCAACCTGGGCTCTACCTCGGACTGGACTGGTGGTCCTAGACTCGCGACGTGAGCCAGAACCAGTCCGTCCCTCCTCCAGATTTGTTTTCCCATCAGGAAGGGATGGGGCTGAAACTAAATTACACTGGTTCCTCGGGTTTTGGGTTTCCAGGACCCTTCCTGGGCCCCAGAAGGAAGTAACTTCATCCTCACCGCACCCCACCCCCCCTCCCAAGATGAATTACCCTGGACGGCTGAATCGAGCCCAGTCCCAAGTGGGGGTTGGGTGGACATGGACGCTCACTACTTAACGTGGAGAGATTCCCGAAGCAACACAGGGGAAGTTAAGGGGCCCCAGCCCTCACCGGGCTCCAGCGGATCAGGTGGTCGGTGCCTGGGTCTCCCACCAGCGCCCATAGCTTGCCGAGGAAGGCAGGCACGGGGCTGGGGCCTGGCTCCGTGGGCAGCGCCGCGGGCGCTTCCTGCATCGCGCAGTCTCGGGGCCCCCTCAGCGCTCCAGTCCGGCCGTTGCGGGATCGTCAAAGCCGCGAAAGTGCTGCGTTTGCCGACCGCCCCGCCCTGCCCTACTCCGCCCCCAGGCGCCGGGTCAGGCGGGGGCCACGTGCGAACTTTCGGGGCGGGGCTCGGACAGCCGCGGAGGCACCAGCAAACAGAAAGAGCTGGCAGGATCGCAGGGTAGTGTAAAGGGGTAGGGGAGGGAGACCTGGGTTCGAGTCTCAACTCTTCTCAGTCTTTGTGCTTTTCTTTGAGAGCAATCGTCTGAGCGTGGGCTGGAAGAGTCCTGGAGGTGGGGGCTGTGAGCATAGCGAAGCCTGGGTGAGGGTAGTTGGGAAGGGTGGTGGGGAAGCTTGGCCCTACCCGCCGAACGCAGAGGCGTAGCCATTCGCGCGCGCCTTTGGAATCCTCCGCCCCGACCCCGCAGCCGCATCAAGACCGGGAACCTTCAAGTCTCAAATCATTCCACCACTGCGCCTTCCCCGCCCCTCCCCCTTGGGGCGGGCTCGCCATCGCCGGACGGGACGCGGAGATTCTACACGATTTACGATTTATTTATTTAACATTCACTCCAGGTGCTCCCGACCTGCGCCTGTGCCCGCATTCTCCCCCCACCCCCACTGTCTCTCTACACGCTGGGCCGCGCAGTGAGCACAGGGGTGGGGCGTGGCAGCCCAGTGTGGCCTGGAGGTGGGGAGGATCGAGTGGACCCATAGCTCTCTGGACTGGACCGGACAGCATCCCACTGGCCCTAATCCTCTGGAGGGTAACGGAACCCCCCAAAGACAGGGACTAAGTAGTTGGAACGAGCTCGGGCAACTCCCTTTGGCTTCTCCAAGACTCAGGTCTACGGGGTCGGAAAGGGGAGGGTTTGGCCAATCAGGGCAGGAGCGTGGGCCGCCAGGGATGTGGCTCTCGCTTTAGTTTGAGCGTGTAGCTGCGCAGGCGCGGGCAGTGCGCGCGGAAGGCGCTGAGCACGGACGGGCTCACCACGCAGAAGCAGTGTATTTCGCGGAGGCCGCTGCACCGCGCAGCCAGCTCCTCCAGCGCCGCATTCATCTCCGCCGAGGCGGAGGCGCGCACCTCGAGCGCGCGCAGGGTGGCAGCGTAGTGGCTTGCCGCGAAGCGCACCGGCCCTACGGTGTCTCCCGAGAGGTTGAGACTCAGCGCAACCACAGGTACTGCAGGTTGCAGGATGCTCATAACGCTCTCGGCAGGCAGCGCAGGCTCCAGCTCCAGCTCCACAGCCATCCCAGGGTGGCGCCGGCTCAGTGCCTGCCAGGCTTCGTCCGGCGGGGGGGTTACTCGAGCATCTTCAGGGCATGCGCACCGCAGAGCGAGGAGTGCAAAAGGCGCGCGATCTGGGGCGGCCAGCGCCTCGAGGACCGCGCGCGACAGGCTGGCTAGGTGCAGGCCAAGAGCGCAGAGGTGCGGGCAGGCCTTCAATAGCGTGAGTATGGAGTCGGGCCCTACGTTGTCCACCAGCGTAGGGTTGTCCAAGAAAAGGCTGCGGAGCTCTGGGCAGCCGCGTGCAGCCTGTAGAACCAGTGCATCATCCAGTGTGAAGGGCAAGCGCCGCAGGTCTAGGTGTTGCAGCTCCCTGGCGGCCTTGCAGATGGCCTGCACAGCTTCCAAAATGTCTCGGCCTGCATCGAAGAGGGGTTTTTCTCCGCGGCATTCCAGGCACAGGCCTCGAAGCCCGGGGGTACGGCCGGCCAGTGCCATCAGTAGCTCGGTAGCTGCCCGGCGACTCGGCTTCCTCGATGGATCACATTCCAGTCGTAGGTTATGAACGTGATCCAAGCAGGTGGACAGATAGGGTGACAGCATGCTTTCCCCCTCATAGTCACAACTTGGATTAAAATGTTACACAAAAAGCACAGTAGTGTCACTGATTGAGGTAGAAACCTCTAGGAGACGCCCTCCGTCCTCATTCCCTCCCCATTTCTTGTCTCCATTATGCACCTCTCTGTCCAGACCAATTAGCCCCAAAGGCAGTCACTGATGGTAGGAAGGAAGTCCCACCCTATCCCTGGTATGGAGAGCTAATATAGAAAAAACAAAAAAACAAAAACCACTCCTCTTTCTCAGCTGTCTTGAAAGAATGAGGCAGGGTCTCTGGACTACCAGGTTCAAATTCTACCTCTACCACTCCTTAGCTGATTGACCAGCCAGGTAGTGGGTAAGTCTGTATGTCTCAGTTTCCTGTCTATGCAATGGAGATAATATTACTTATCTGCCACCCTGGGTTTAATGAGTTAATGTAAGGCACTTAGAACTGTAGTAGCTAATAAATGTTAGTGATGCAACTCTGTGTGTGTGTGTGTGTGTGTGTGTGTGTGTGTGTGTGTTGGCACTGGGGCTTGAATTCAGGGCCTGGGTGCTGTCCCTTAGCTTTTCCACTCAAGGCTGATGCTTTACCAATGAGCCACAGCTCCACTTCTGGCTTTTTGCTGGTTAATTGGAAATAAGAGTCTCAAGGACTTTCCTGCCTGGGCTAGCTTTGAACAGTGATCCTCAGATCCCAGCCTCTTGAATATCTAATAGTAGCTACCTCCACCTTGTTATTTTTTTTTTTTCTGAAACCAATATGGAGAAGTCAAGGAATCTCTCCAACCCCTGACTCCATGAAGTTTGAAAAATTGGGCAAACAGAGGAGCTAGCTCACCTGATGCTAGTGTCATGCCACACAGTGCTGCTGGTGGCAGCAGTGGCCCAGGCTCTGCAGACCCTGGCAGCCGCAGCTCGGTCCCTGAGGGGCAAGTGTCGGAAGATGAGTGCCAGCACTTCCTCAGGAAGCTGTTCTCCTGGCTCGGTTGTGGTGTGGCTGGGGGTTAGAGGCTTTGCCATTCCAAACAGCTTTTACCTAGAAGAGAGGGAAACCCTGAGTTCAGGAAGGCCATAGTGTTGAGGAAACAGTGGAGACTGGTGTAGAAATGCTTGTGGCCTGGGAACTGGTATATACTTTGCAGAGCTGGTGTTGCAGGGGTCCTCATTCACAACCTGTAGCTCAGTAGTGGAACTTGCATAGCAAGGCCTTGGATGTGATCCTCAGTATTGTGTGTATGTGTAGTAACAGCAGAGGTATTCTTTTTTTTCCCCTTTTCTTCATTTTCTTCTTGTCTTCATCATCTTTTTTGGTGCTGGTCCTGGGGCTTGAATTCAGGACCTAGAAGCTATCCCTGTTTCTCTACCACTTGAGCCACAGTGTTACTTCTGGCTTTTTAAAGTAGTTTATTGAAGATAACTTTTTTTTTTTTTTTTTTGCCAGTCCTGGGGCTTGAACTCAGGGCCTGGACGCTGTCCCTGAGCTTCTTTTGCTCAAGGATAGCACTCTACCACTTGAGCCACAATGCCACTTCCAGCTTTCTGTTTATGTGATACTGGGGAATTGAACCTAGGGCTTCATGCATGCTAGGGAAGCAGTCTATCAGTAAGCCACATTCCCAGCCCTTAAGGATAATATTCTCACAGACTTTTCCTGCCTGGCTGGCTTTGAATCTCAATCCTCAGATCTCAGCCCCCTGTGTAGCTAGGATTACAGGTGCGAGCCACCAATACCAGGATAGTTTTTTATTATATAGACTTTTGCTATGTGTTTCAGTTCTTGCTATGTGGCTCAGGCTGGCCTTGAATTCCAGATCCTCCTGTCTCAGCCTCTGGGGTGTTAGAATTACATCATGCCTGAGTAGACTACAGATTTTTGATCAAGATCAAGAACTAACCTAAACATGAGGGTCTATCTTACAGTGTAGGTCCTAGATCCATGAAGTTGTTTCTCAATGCCAAAGAGCTTCTCTGTGTGTGTGTGTGTGTGTGTGTGTATTTTATATGCATGTTGGTACTAGGGCTTGAACTCCAGGCCTCATGTGCTAAGTTGGCTTTAGCATTCGTGGCTGGTGCTTTACCACTTCAGCCATACCTCCAATTCCAGTTTTTTTGCTGGTTAATTGGAGATAAGAACTTTCTGATTGGTCTGCTGGGACTAGCTTTAAACTAAGGCTCCTCAGATCTCAGCTTCCTGAGAACCTGAGATTATAGGCATGCGCAACTAGTGCCTAACTGGGTTTCTGGCCTTTATACTACTTTCTCACTTGTTGGACAAGTTCCAGGTGATTCCACAGGGCCCAGGTAGAGAAACTGTCCCGTTGTCATGGTGACTACAGGGTTAATAAAAGCGGGAGCTTAAGCTGAAAACGTTCATTTGTCAGTGCCCACTAGCCAATCAGAAACCAGGTCTTCTGGATCCGCCTAGAAAGGGGAGGCATTTTTGTTGCTGCTTCCTCACTGGGAGGGGAGTTGCCTGTGTTCTTCCCACTGACAGACCAGCAGGGCAGATAAAAGCCGGAGGTTCTGGGGCCTGTTTGCTCTGGCGCCTGGAGGGCTGTAGTTCAAGTTCCGACCCAGACTCCGGAGCAGCCCCGGTTCCCGCTGGACAATTTAGGTTCGGCTGGCACCCCGCAGAGCGCAGGTTTTTGAGTCTTCTTTAAGCTTACCAATTTGTGTCAGGGTGCCTGCAGGGTGTCCTGCACATCTTAAGTCACTTGGTTGTTAATTTCCCCTTATATTCCTGATGCCACGTGTACTCTGGGCCTTCGGACACCCCGGGCCAGGCGTGGACGAGGGACCCATGACACCTCATTTTGAGTGCTAGGGAAAAGCCGAGATCAAATGATCGAGCCAGATGATATATCCAGGGGGCATTAGGAAATTCGAGTTCCCCAAGGAGTGCCCTGTTGTAGATCTGCTAGGAACAGAGGGAAAACGGAGCCCGTTAGGGGGAAGGGGAGGTGCCACACTTTAGAGCCTAAACTCTGGACCCACGGGGAAGTTCCTCCTGCCACCTAACCTCAGGCACCAATATCTTACCTGCTTAGAAGACCAAGGTGGCTTTGCCCCGAGGCGGGGGACTGGGTGCCCAGGGCAGCGGGGCGGGAAGGAAGGAGTCCGGGGCGCCGGGAGGGCGGGACGCGCGGGCGGCTCCGGTTGGGGCACCGCCCCGGGTTCTCCGCGCACACCCGGAAGCGGCGCGGGGAGCAGAGCCAAGCGTGGCGGGCGTGGGAGCCCAGGCCCTGCCGAGGCGGGCGGCCAGGTTAGTGCCGAGGCGCGGAGGGAGGGTGGGCTCCCTGGTGTGGCGGGAGCGGAGGCGGGGATCGGGCTTCCGCGCGTGGACACCGCGCTGTCACGCACGGCCGCCCGGGCCGGCCGGTGGGGGCGGCCTGTGGGGCAGGAGGGAGGAGGCTGCCGCTTTCAGATTTCTTGTGCCGACTAATAATGGCTTTTGAGGGGCGCCTCCCCTCCCCCCTCTTAGGACGAAAGTGCGGGGGAGGGGCTGGGGCTGAACAGTTCCGTGAGCGGAGACCCCCCCCCCCCCAGCTCGCCTGGGCCCCGGACTTGCAATCCAGTTCAGTTGGACGCTGGGCTCTGGGGGTCTCCAGCCGCAC